ACGTATCTGCTCTCTCCTGTTCTCTTTCTGTTTCTTCCCTTCTTTTAAAAAACATCTGTTTTACTAATTTTTTCTCACTTTTTTCTCCCAAAGCTTTACCTTTCTTTCTAAAATCTTAGTCTCTTTCTATCTCTCACTCACTAACCCCCTCCCCTTCTCTCTCTCTTTCTGGGATGAACGCAAATAAGTGCGATTAAATGTGTGTGTGTGTGTGTATGTGTGTGTGTGTATGTGTGTGTATGTGTGTATGTGTGTGTGTATGTGTGTGTGTGAGAGAGAGTTGTATTATATACCATGCGCCCTAAGCAGGTGATGAAAATTCCAACCTTGACTTGGGAAGGGGATGTTTCAGATTATCACCTGTTTGAAGCATTTTTACAGTTCTCGTGGACAAGTTGGGGCAACGTCGAGTTATGTAGCTCCCACATGACATCGTTTACCTTCATGGATTTTCTACTATAATTTTACCTATCTGTCTAGGATTTTTTTAAAGAACAAAAACACTCGGAAGGAAGACGTCTGAAATGGCACTACAAATCACGTAGCCTAACGATTGTTGCGTAATTTATTCAAAGCTGTATTTAAATTGAAGGATTTTGGTACCACTCACAGTGATAATAACATGTATTTGTTGTTTATTTAAGGTCTGGCTTACTTATGAATAGATTTTGTTTTGGCTGTATTCATATATCGATCCCTTCTGTTTCTTATACATTTAGATAGTCTAACTGCCCTTGTATTGTGAAAACAGACATCGGGATTTTGATCTTCTATGTGCCCTGAGGGTACCTTATTTCAGAACATTGGACAGTGTGTTTATTGGGCTGGGGTAGGCTCTGCCCTCACAAACTTATATTTGACTTAAGTCTTATGTTCTTACTGGTCATTTTCCTTTTCACTAAAAAACAGGTGGTGTGTAAACGACAACGGAGCTTCAAGGTGTTTTTTTTCTCGCTACTTCCAGGTCATGACAAAGATTTTAAAAAAGGGAACACGAAACGACCGTGAAAGTAGATTTAGCCCCACTCCCCTTCTCCTCAAACCCTCATCTACAGATTCGTAAAATACATGTACATCAAAAGCATCATGCTTGCATGGTGTCTTAGTGACCCCAATGAGAGTAGAGTCCCTGGATGTGCGCATTAGGTTAGGTAAACCCCAAAAGGACGGCTACAGCTCACTCTTACCAAAACCTGTGCAGTATCGCAATGGATAATGCGAGACCGTGTAATTTGATAGGTCACAAAACTAGAACTGAAAGTTGTCTTCCTCACCGTATTCATTACAGACTCTTCGCGTACCTCGGTTCTAATGAGGTCCCACCACCCAAATGTTGTGAATAAAATTAGGTTTGTGTATAATCCAGGCTGATCCTTTAGTGATGTCTCCTGTCGCGGAGAAAGTACCTGTACATAATTGTTATGTTACAAGCTCAGCAGAGCAGTAGGAATCAAGTTTGTCATAAAGTTATGTTGCTTTTTGGATATGAAGGCTTTGTTAAGCCTAACATGAGGAAGACTTTATCGTTTTATATAAATAACATGCACTTAGTTATATGTTGTCGGTTAAAGAGATTGTAATATTTTAGTTAACAGTGTGTAGGTTTTTGTTTTGATGTGTATTTTTCTTTGTAAAATAAACATTACTAAGAAATTATGTGTTTTCTTGTATACATATTTCTCTGTGGCAGATTGATTGATTGATTGATTGATTGATTGACTGATTCAGTCATATTTTCGTTCATTGATTCATTCGTGCGTTCGTTCGTTCGATCGTTCGTTCGTTCGTGCGTTCGTTCTTTTGTGCGTTCGTTCGTTCGTTTGTTCGTTTGTTCCTTCGTTCGTCTGTTTGTATATTTGTCTGTCTGTCTGTCGTTCTGTCTGTCCGTCTGTTTATATGTGTGAGGGTCTGTTTGTTTATTGGTTTGTTTGTTTGTTGGTTTGTTTGTTGGTTTGTTTATTTATTGGTTGGTTTGTTTGTTTGCTTCTAAAAAGGCGATCGCTCTTTAATAAGTTTCCAAAGTCAACATCACACAATGACCTGAACTGTGCCAACAGTTGTTATCAAAAGCCATTTTCCACCCTCACAATTCTTCGATTCGCTGGCACTAAAGAAGTAGTTATCCCGCTCCTACACCAACTCGTGCAGTCAATGATAAAGGTGTCTGACCAACCATGTTTATGGCTTGGGGATCTCTGGCATGACCATATTTTTCAAAAATGCTTAAATAGGGGAAGCCTCCTAGCTTCGTGCCAGCTTCCCGTAGCCCGCCCATATCCTGTTCTGGAATAATAAAAACCTGATAAAAAATCCCCAGAGGAACAAACGAAACAGCTAAGAACCCATCCGACTCATCGTTATCACAGTCCTAGATTAAGAGATAGTTACGGTGATTTACACTGAAAGGTTTCCAGATACCTATCACGGGATGCCTGCGAGACAAGCAAAACGAAATCTAGGAAATTTATTAATACCAAGGGATTGGCTCCGTGAATGATAAAACAGTCCATAACTTGATTATCGCCAAGGGGTGTTATTTAGATCGCAAACTTTATAGATAACTGATCTGTTTTTGAGGTTTTCATTGGCCAATCATAATGGAACTCTGTAGAGGGCTAAAGTACAACTCGTAAATTCACAATGAATGTTTAGTCACCCCCCCCCCCCCACCTTTCGCTCAAGTAATAGCTGTCTGGGGGTTTTTATTTAAAAAAATCTTTCCCCTAATAAATAACAGAGAAAGATATTATCTTATTGATATTATTATCGAATAGAAGGTGGCATTTTAAGTAAGGTCGATGAGAAACACTGACGCGTTAAATAATATCCTGGTGTATTCCAGGTCAACGTGTGCGTGATCTTTATGATCTCAGGGAATAAGGGTACACCCCCCCCCCACACTTTATTTTTAAAAAGAAAATAATATTAAAAAATAGGGGAGCAGTGCTCATGAACCTATCAAACATTGACAGATGGGAAAAAAGAGTGCACAGGCCCTCCCCCTCTTTCTCTTTGTTTCTCTCCCCTTTTCTCTTTCCCTCTCTCAATATATCTATCCATCTATCTATCTATCTATCTATTTATTTATCTACCTATCTATCTATCTATATCTATATATCTATCTTTCTATCTATCTAT